TGTTGCTATTAAAAGAGAAACAAGCACGTGTATTGATCATCTCTTTTACAGAGCTAGTAAAACAAAAACAATACAACATGCTTTAATAATTACAACTAATATATCTGATCAATACTCACTTTTTTATTGTATGTGCGAAGAGAACGTAAACAAACAGAGTCAACCAACCGCAATTAGCCAGGGGCCACTATTTAACAATTTTAAAATTAACAAAAAAAATACAAGAAACCAATTGGAATATGGTAATGAACCAAATATCAAATACAAATCAATTATATAACGAAGCGTATGCATTATTAAAGGAAATATACCAAAACTCAACAAAAACTCAAAAGTCAAATAAAAAAGATCTATAAATCCTTGGATTAGTAATAAGATTGTAATATACTGTGATACTAGGGATAAACTTTATAAAAAATGGAAAAATAATCCTAAAAATAAACTATACGAACAAGAATACAAAACATTTAGAAACTTTGTGAATAAAAAAAAAAACAAGTAAGAAATTATAGTCGGGCGAGGCCGACCATATAATACCCTACACCTGTTACAAAAATGAAATGTGATTTTGTTTTCATAATAAAGCATTGTAGTTGAATTGTACCTTGCCTCAGATATACTTAAGCCATTTATTGTTGAATAAAATTGTGGACATTTAAGTCAAATTTTGAAGGGGGCTTTGTATAGGTGCTATGGTCAAATGAGACCCTATGATTATAAAATTCATGAGAGTCATCAAGGCTAGTATAGCATTTGGTTTTGCAGCTTTTTGTTGAGATACGAGTATATTAAACATAATTATGAATTTAAAAGCCCTATTCGTCGGGTTGGGGGCTAGGTGAAATAATGGACCGATGTTAACCATTTTTAATAGGCTTTGTCTCCGGTACCATAGAAGATCATGTGCCAAATTTCATTGAATTATCTTCAAAATTGCGACCTGTAGTTTGATTACAATGTTTACAAGCCCTATTCAGGGGTTCAGTTGTATGGGGGCTAGGTGAAATAATGGACCGATCTTAACCAACTTTTCAATAGGCTTCGTTCCTGGGACAATAGAAGATCATGTACCAAGTTTCATTGAATTATCTTCAAAATTGCGACCTGTAGTTTGATTACAAGGTTTACATGGACAGACAGAAAATGATTCTAAGCCGATTGGTATACTTTAAGATGGGTATAGGACCAATATTATTGTGCGTTACAAACATCAGCACAAACCCAATATACCCTCCCCACTAAAGTGGTGTAGGGTATAATAATTTATGAGAAAAATAACTATTATTGAAAAAAGTTCTTTGAAAACAGAAATGATATTCGCGCAACATGGCAATTATTAAATGAAATGGTAAAAAAACTAACGATATTGATGATTTTATAATAAAAAACTTTAAAAATGAGAATCTAAATAATATTACAAATAATTTTGCACTGAATTTTAATCTAAACGTGAAAAACTAATACACAATTGTGACATTAAAACGATTAATAATACACATAACAACGTTTTAAACTCTATTTACGTTGATTATACTAATGAAGTCGAAATTTGCAATATCTTGAAAACATTAAATATTCGAAGAGGTTCTGGAATTGATGGTTTAAGACCAATGGACCTCAAAAATAATGCCACTTTGTTAACAACCATTATTACCAAATTGATCAATTCAAGCCTAGAACAGGCCGTAGTACCAAATTTGCTAAAAACATCAATTGTAAGGCCAATATATAAAAACGGAGATAAAATGGACTTTAGTAATTATAGACCTATAGCTATTCTATCTGTAGTTGATAAAATTCTCGAAGAAGTTGTGGTCAAAAAACTTACCGATTTTTTGCAAAAATATAAAATTATAAACAAAAACCAATTTGGTTTCCAAAAAAAACGAAAATATTAATAAATTACTAGGAAAGTTTTTAACCTACATAAATGAATGCTTAACTAATAGTATGCATTTTTTAGTTGTTTTCATTTACTTTAGCAAGGCGTTTTATACATTATCGCACACTAAGTTGCTTGAAATTTTAGAAAGAAATGGAATACGAGGAAACTTCTTAAAAAGGTTTAAAAGTTATCTGGAATGCAGATCATACCGTGTTAAAATAAAAGGCAAACTTAGTAATGAAATAACGTATGATTGTGGAGTACCACAAGCGTCGAAGCTCGGTCCTATACTTTATATAATATACGCAAACGATATGCTAAGAAGCTTAAACAATACAACATTCGCATATGCTGATGACACAGCCATAGTTGTTGCTGACAAAAATATATCAAACGCGACAGAAGCTATGCAAAAACAATTAAATATTGCAACCAAATGGTCTCATGATAACGGCCTGATCATCAATGTAAATAAAACAAAAGCCATGCATATTAAGCCCCCACATCTCCTAAACACAAATATTAAACTAACTTTCCACACCACAGAATGTCTTCATAAAAACACGAATAACAGCACCTATCAAAGAGACCCATGTTCAACCGTAATAGAAATAGTCAACTCATACAAGTACCTGGGAATCTACGTCGATAGCAATTTCAAATGGAAAACCCACATTGAAAACTTGCAGAAAAAAACTAAGAAAAACGTCATACATGCTGTATCATCTAAGCCATACCATATAGCGTATTACGCCAGGCACATTTCTCATTGTCTGAATCGTACATAAGACATGGCATAGCTGCATGGGGAAAAGTTAAATATAATAGCACGCTGCAGTAATCACAGGATCAGATACTAAAAATTTTATGGAAACAACAACAATATAACAACGACAACTACTCAACGGATGTCAACACACAAAGCAACAACAGTCAAAATCAAATCAGCCTAGCAAAAGCTACAAATGTTCTAAACGTCAATAATATTTATCACACTACGATAATAAAAGAATTTGCCGACAACCCCAATTTCTTGAAACACATCGATCATACATACAACACAAGAGGAAGATCACAAGGGAGATATAAAGTCAATCGCTTTCTCAACGAATACGGGAGAAACACTCTTCCTGTTACATTACCAGCTATTCTCAATAAAATACCAACCCATATATTAAATAATAGAAATAAATATCTAAAAATCAAACAAATAAAGAATTTTTTAATAAACTTGCAATGAGCTAAATATAACGAAATATTAATAAAAATAATAAAAACAAGTAAGAGTGCTATATTCGGCTGTGCCGAATCTTATATACCCTTCACCATAGTGTATTTAAAAATTCATTTTTCCGACTATATCATTATTATAGCAATAGCAAAACATAATGAACAACAACAACGCTAAACGAAATAAACACACAAAGAAATACACAAGGTAGTAAACCCAACAGACATCCAAACATACGAAACGAAATACAGAAAAAAACAAAATACACAACGCAATGAAACCAACAGACATCCAATCATACGAAATTCAATACACCAAGAAAACAAAAACAATATAGTATATTGAACAATCCTATATATATATATAAAACAGACTGTTTGTTTGTTACGCTTTCACGGCAAAACGACTCAACCGATTTACATGAAATTTGGCATATCGATAGGTCTAAGTTCGGGAAAAAACTATAGGCAATATAAAAGATCTTTATCCGATGTCACGCCCCTTTTTACGCCCACTTTTTCGTTTTGTTTGTTACGCCTTCACGGCAAAAGTATTACAACAACATACATACATACATACATACATACATACATACATACATACATACATACATACATACATACATACATACATACATACATACATACATACATACTACATACATACATACATAATACATACATACATACATACATACATACATACATACATACATACATACATACATACATACATACATACATACATACATACATACATACATACATACATACATACATACATACATACATACATACATACATACATACATACATACATACATACATACATACATACATACATACATACATACATACATACATACATACATACATACATACATACATACATACATACATACATACATACATACATACATACATACATACATACATACATACATACATACATACATACATACATACATACATACATACATACATACATACATACATACATACATACATACATACATACATACATACATACATACATACATACATACATGAGTTATTTGTAGAAGTTTTTATCAAAAAATTACAAAATAAAAAGTCGACACGGGCAGGGGTTGAACTCACAACCATCGATCTGTCCCGGTTGCCTTTAGAGTCTAGCTTCAAATAATGATCTTTGTTTCTGTTTGTCTAAAAATAGGCATTTGCTAACGTGTGATAAAAAATGAAACAAATTGAAAGTAAGAACTGAAAAAAGTAACTGTTTTATTTCTAGACTTTACTTATAAAGGAAGTCATTATAAAATATTTTGTTGACTTTACTTACAAAGTGATGCATTAAGAAGTTGTTATTAGTACTTCTCATAAATGGAGCATAGGGTAAGCAGCCGCGCTAGGATTAATAGTAGCTGATTAAGAACCCGGGTTCGAATCCCAGCTGGAGAGAACAATTTTTTTAGTTTTTTATTTCCCACATATTAACGATCAAATAAAAATAGGCAATTGGGAAATAGTAACTGTTTTATTTGTTTTTTTTTTTTTTTTTTTATTTTTTTTTTCTAAAATATGCTTTAAAGAAGTTGTTATTTTTAAAATTATAACAAAAGCTTTTGTACGGGAAAAAATGGCAACGAGCTAGACCAGGGCTCGAACCAACGATCTCTCAGTTTGGATTTTTAGTCCGCTGACATACCCGCAACACTACCGATCAGCTATTTTATCCTTTGCCAACTAAAAATGTATATGTTTAAAATTGTCGTACGCAAATAAACCATTTATATAAAAATTTTGTTAAATTAATAATATAATTTCTTGATAACTTTAAATAAAAGTGTTTTAAAATGTTTTTAAACTAAAAATAATTATAAGTGGTTTTAAAAGTGAAATTAGAATGCCTAGAAGAAAAAAATCAAACCTCACAAAAGTAACTAAACGTGCCATTGCAATGCGAAATCTTAGGAGTTTAGAAACATCCCAACAAACACAAGAGCGACTTTCAAGTCAATCTGATCGTCAACAATTGTATAGAGCTACCGAAACATCAGCTCAAGCTGAAGCTCGCAGAAATGCAGAGCTACGTCGTCAGCATTTGTCAAGGGCTGCTGAAACCGATGAAGCACGTAGTAATCGGTTATCACAGAATGCCCAAAGACAATCCGCAGCAAGGAATATTGAAACTTCCGAAGAAACCAACGATCGACTTTCTCAGCAAGCCAAACGACAGGCGTCAATAAGACGTTCTGAAACTCCTGATGAAACCAAGAACCGACTTTCTCAACAGGCGCAACGTCAGGCGGCATTACGCGCTTCAGAAAGTCTCGACGAAGCTGATAATCGACTCTTCGAACAGGCGCAACGTCAGGCGGCATTTCGTGCTTCGGAAACTCCCCACGAAGCTTACAATAGGCTCTCCCAACAGGCGCAACGTCAGGCAGATTAAGAAGCCTTGAAACAAGTGATGAAGCAAATTTACGGCGAATGCGTGTAGCTGAGAGTATGGCGACACGGCGACGTAATTTTAAAAGACTAAGTTGGTTAGCTTTTAATTGCGCTGCTTTTGAATACGATAGCACTCTTGATTACAAAAATCATAATCAAATAGGCCTAATGGGAGAACAATGCTCATACTGTTCAGCATTAAAATGGAAATGTGAAACCCCAGGTTTATACTGCAATTCAGGTAAATTAAAAAAAGCAATCACAAAGACCAAAGTTATATAGTTTAGATGAATGTATGTATATTAAAATTTAGAATATTACTATATCTAAAAATAGATCGTGTGTATCATATTTTCCCAATAATAACACCTTTAGATTAACATTAGTAATACCATAAACGTCTAAGAAACTGTAAAATATTCGAAAAATATATTATGTTAGAAAGAATGACAAATTTTGAATAAAAGCACAAATCATATATTTCAAACATTCTTACCAAATACGTATACTATATTAAGAAAATCATACATAAGTCAGTTTTCGAAATGAATAACAAAAAAAAAGCATAGTTATTGTTAAAATAAAATTGGCAGTATGTTTTAATATGTATGTATATAGCACAATTTTCTACTTGTAAAAACTCCTAACAATTTGTAAAAACCTTTTTATCACAGATAGATAAACCTACTTTGAAGAAAATGTTTAAATGCAAAGTTTTTTTATTAATAAAAGAACTAATAATTTTAATTCGACTTTTCTATCAATGCAATTATGTCTCTCTATATTTAAATCTTTGTTTATCTCTGAATTAACACATAAAAAGAAAAAGGCTAAATTTGTAATGAAATGAAGATTGTAGTAAACACAACATAACATCTATAAATATTATACATAATTATAGGAAAAACAAGCTATAAACGGAACATGTAGTAAGCAGCTACACTAAGCTTCGCAGGAAACATTTGAGTGTCCAGGTTCAAATCTCATCTGAGAAAATCTTTTTATTTTTTCTTACCTATACATACAAATCGTTTGCATAAAATTAAGACGATTTTTTAAAAACATTTTTATTACATAACATAAAACATAAATAAATTTCATTTTTACTGATTCAATAACGTTTTTTTTAGAGTTTTGTTTTTATGTCAGTAAATCGAACACAACAAAAAAATGTTGCCATGCCCATCATTCGCATACAACAATTCAGTCAAATTTTGGTTTGAATTCAATATACATACAAATTTTTATACAAAATTGTTATAAGTAGTTTCAATAAGTTTGTGCCATAATATCCTTAAATTCAATAAAACACGTATCCATATCAGTAACTGTATTTGTTTTAATGTCAGTTTAAATTTAAATAACTTTCTTTATTTATTGTTTTCGAAAAATAATAGTTTGAAAATATTGCGGTTTTTTATTAATGTGTTTAAAAAATAGTTGTTAATTCACAATCAAGTTGTATGTTGTAGCTACTAAAATATAGCAACAGTGTTTGTGAAACGAATTTTGCGGCAAGTCAATCGTTTGTGTTTTCAAAGAGAAAAAAATAATCAAAACATATGAAAAAATGTCGTAGGAGTTGTATAGAGATTTCGCATAAAAAATACCAACAACATTGTTATGACTATTGTAGAAGCTGCTGACATTATACTCATACAACGTTACAACATCGATTGTGAATTGAACAAGTATATTTTTATTAAGAAAAGTCTAGAAATGTTATCAATGAACAATTTACAGAACTGAGTACTTGATTTTACGAATTTCGTGATACAGTTTTACTTATTTAAAAAATTTTTGATCGAGAGGATATTGCACAAATAGAAAAAATAATTAAACAATAAAAATTAGGTTTTTATATTAGAAAACTATTTTTTTTTTTCAATTATAAAAATTAATATTATCAGCATAAAATGTTGAAATGACTATGATTAAAGAGGAATGAAAATCTTGCACAACAACTATGAAACCGTATGGTAAGGTTATTGCACATCATAACAATGTAAGATAACACTATTTGTGAGGTAGGGTGTTGAAAAATATTCCTTTCAACAAAACATTATTTTGATTTGACACATTTTTTATTAAATTTGTTAATCTTGCTTTAGTTATTTTTTTCTTTATAAATTTCGGGAATAAAAACTTCATAGACATTGCATATTAGATTAAAAATGCAAGAACAATGAAATTAATGTTTTCTTTCGTGCAGTACATTTTTCCAATATATTAATTTTCTTGCTATATCGATTTAAAATAAAAATTGTAAGTCCTAAAGATGTGAGTCAGATTTTAACTAAAGTTTTTTTTGTAAATATGTATCGTTATTTCCAAATTTTGTTTTAAAATAAAAATTGTAAGTCCAAAAGATGTGAGTTAGATTTTGACTAAAGTTTTTTTTAAGTATGTATCATTATTCTCATATTTCGTTTTGCATATTAATAAAATTAATGTTTATTTCAAAAATAATTTTTATCAAGAGAATATTAAATTCTTTTATATTTCATTAAAATATATCTACACAGAAAAATCCTGGTATAACGAATATCACTTTAACGCAGGTTTAAGACTTCTCTTTTTAGGCAAATAAAATTAGAAGTATGTAATTAAATTCATTCTCATAAAAGTATATAAATAGGATTTTTTTAATTTCTTTATGATATTTTTCTTGATATATATTATTTTCCCTGCTATTTGTTACTCTTTCGATACAGATATTTGTGATAATATTGATTTAAAAAAAAAACATATTTTTTATTCTTAAGCGACGCGAAATTAATCTAATGAATATTACCTTAACTAAAGTTTCATTGCTTTCATCACTGTATTCGTAACAAACTTAGTTAGTAAACAAGATTTCCTACCAATAACAATTTCTCAATACGACTAAAGACTAATAATTAACTGCATATCACAATTTCATTTCATACACATTTTACTATCCATTATTCCAATAACACATTTCAGGCAAAATTTCACTTCCTGTTTTGCAAGAACCTCCCCCAACTTTAAGATCACTCCTTCTTAACGATACTAATGACTCCAAACATTTTTTAAAAAACGTTCGCAAATATAACTCTTCCTTCAAAATGACTTCCTTTGGGGCAGATAAAGATGTTTCGCTTCCAGGCTTTTCTCCTACTTTTGCAATACAGGGACAGATTTATCATAGAATCGAATCAATTTTTCCTGTAGACAATCAACAAGCTACATTTATGCAAAATTATGTTCCAAACAAAAAAGTTTCATGCGTAGATTTGTATGCATTTCATATGATGGTGCGCCGTAATAATTTTAATTTGTTGCTTCGATATAATCAACTTTTGCACCAATTTTTTGTAGACATGTATGTCAAAGCTGAGAGTGAGCGACTCCGATTCATATTGCATAATCAGCGAAAGCTCCGATCTGAATCATATATTCATATGCAAGATGCTGTCAGTAATGATGGCAATGTTAGCGCGAACGATATAGGACAGTTAACAATATTACCATCGTCATTTATTAACAGCCCTCGCTATTTACACCAATATACCCAAGACGCATTTGCTTATGTTCGATCATACGGAAGACCAGATCTATTTTTAACATTTACATGTAATCCGGGATGGAAGGAATTTAGTGAAGCGTTAATGCCAGGACAAAAATGTTCAGATAGGCATGATTTGATTGCACGCATTTTCCGTCTAAAAGTTCAAAAATTTGTTGCCATTCTCACAAAAGTAAACATTTTTGGAGATCACCAGTGCTTCATGTACTCAATTGAATGGCAAAAAAGAGGTTTACCACATGTTCATTTGTTACTTTGGCTAAAAGTTAAAATTAGGCCAAACCAAATAGACGCTATAATTTCAGCAGAAATACCTAACCCTGAGATGGATAAAGGTCTGTATGATATTGTGGTGAAAAATATGATACATGGACCATGTGGTAGTTTTAATCCAACACAGTGATGCCAGGAGATTTTTTTCAGAAATCCCTACGCTTATGAGAAAAAATCCCTTTTTTCCCTACACCCACTTTTTATTTTCCCTACATTTTTCCCTACACTACTTTTTTCCAAGTTTATCTTAAAAAAATACAAAAATAACATAAAAAACTAAAATATTAGCTCTGTTTTATAATTTACACACATATATATATATATATATATATATATATATATATATACACTATCGGACAAAATAAAGTGCAAAAGTACTCATGCTATATTCTTTCATCGAAAAATCGGTTAAATGATTATTGAATATGGAAATTTTTTTCAAAATCATTTAGTTAATATACAACGCTACAATAATAACAATAAAACTAAATTATTGTAATTACAATTTTTCTGTAAAACTTCTAAAATTAAAGTAAATTAAATTTTTTTGTCGGACAAAATAAAGTGTAAATTTTATATATCATTATTTAAATTTCTTGTATATCAAAATTTTTTATCTATTTTGGTTCTGATTTGAATATCTGGATCTACTTAAGCCATTTTGGTAATTTTGTTCACCATTGTTATTCGCAATCGCCTTTCCTTCCCCTTGCTTTTCGCATATGATTATTTTCAAAAGAAATCCGTTTTTGATCACTATTTCATCGGAATTTTTTGATCAATTGTGGTCCAAAATTAATCTATTGGATTTAGGGCGGTGCTCTGAGCAACTTATTTAAATTTTCAGTGTTCTTTCCTACAGTAATGCTATTTTTTAACTTTATCAAGCGCTTAAGCTTATTATCTTTCCGAGATATAAAGTTGCCCAAGTCCATTTCGAAGGCACTGATCTTAAGATTTGACTGTAATATGCTCACATAGTGTTCACTAGAGCTTTTTGAATAAATTTCCCCTAGGTTCCCCACAGCTAACATTAAAAGTTAAACACATACGAAGAGTCAACTGACCCATACGTTCAATCTTTCACCAACACATTTAAAAGCATGGAAATTTTTTTTCGGGTTTAGTATTTAATTTTGTATTTTTTACCTCAAATTTGCGTAGATAGTCAGATGAGTCCTAATTTGTACCGAAAATTTTAAAATGTCGACAATGAGTGTGAGTTAAACCCTTCAATATACAATATTTTAAAAACAATACCCCAGGTTTTAAACATTATGGTGGGGGGCTATCGGTATTGGTACATTATTCAACCTTAGGAGCGGGAATCTTAGTGAAGATGGAGTAAACAATAACAATTGAGCAATTCACGAGCGTATTTAATAATTTTTTTTAAATAAATGCCGTAAAAATGGATTTGGGACACTTAATGCCTCAACAGATTTATGACTTCAAACACACGACAAAGGTTAAAAACATTACTGTAAGAAAAAAAAACACTGAAAAATTGGAATGACCTACTCAGACCATCGCCCTAAATCCAATAGATTAATTTTTGACCACAATTGATAAAAAATTCTGCTGAAATAGCGAACAAAAACGGATTTCATTTGAAAATAATCGTATGGGGGAAAGCAAGGGGAAGGGAAGGCGATTGCGAATAATAATGGTAAAAAAATTAAAAAAATGGCTTAAGTAGATCCAGATATTCAAATCAGAACCAAAATAGATAAAAAATTTTGATATACAAAAAATTCAAATAATGATATATAAAATTTACACTTTATTTTGTCCGACAAAAAGGTGAATTTACTTTAATTTTGGATGTTATACAGAAAAATTTTAGGTGGAATGATTTTGTTTTATTGTAATTTTTGTAGCATTGCATATAAACTAAATGAATTTTAAAAAATTCCATATTCAGTAATCATTTAACAGATTTTTCGCTGAAAGAATATAACATGAGTACTTTTGCACTTTATTTTGTCCGATAGTGTATATATATATATATATATATATATATATATATATGTATTTTTTTAATTTTTAGGAATGAAATTTCTAGAATTAAAATTTTTAATTTTTTACTTTCAATTTTACATCATACAAATCTCCCAACCCTGACTCTTCAGTATAGATTAAAAAAAACAAGACAGTATCACGATTCGATGTTAAAAATTTATTTAATGTGCCCCCAGTTTACTTTTGCGTTTACTTTTTGCGGTTTACTTTTATAAATTTTCAGAACATTAAATTATTTTTTTCAATCCTGAGTTACTGCATTAAGCCCCCGACTACTCTATCTATAAGGAGTCAGAATATATCGCCTTACAGGATTGGCATAATCCAAAAAAGTCGTTTCAAGAAAAATGGATATGAATATTTTATGACATTTAACTATTTTCTTTGATAACTTTTAAACAAATCAAGGGATTTTAAAAATCCAAATTCAGATAGTTGAGGTTAAATGTTTCTCATCTAAATTGAAATTCAATTTTTAGTTGTCTAATATTCACGAAAACATGGGTTTTAGTTTTTACGTTTACAAAAAAATCGATTTCACATCGAAAATAATAAACATATTAGAAATTTGATAAATCTATATGAAAGATTTTAGTATTTCGCATGTTTTGTAGCCCTCAGTTCAAGAAACCCGAATTTTGGATTATGCCAGGCTTGTAGCGATATGTCGGTACACATATTGTAGAAATTACAAGCGGAATTTTTACTAACGATACACTTAAAATTGATTTCATTTTTAATTTTAGAGTTTAATACATGAAAGAGTATATATTTAGTTGATAAAAACTATTAAATTTAAAAAATCCCTACAACTTGACAATAGTAAGAAATCTTTCCCTTTTTCCCTACACGTGAAATTTTTGAAAAAAATCCCTACAAAAAGGGAAAAATCCCTACACTTGGCATCACTGATCCAACATCACCCTGTATGAAAAATGGAAAATGCACAAAGAAATATCCCAGAGCATTTGTAAAAGAAACGCAACACAACGACAAGGGGTATCCATTGTACAGACGTAGAACAGTTGACGATGGTGGTCATACAACAACTATTAATATTCGTGGTGGTCAACAGAATATAGTTGTTAACAGCACTTGGGTTGTTCCGTATTCCCCGTTGTTGTCCAAAACGTTTAATGCTCATATTAACGTCGAATTTTGTAGTTCTGTACAGGCCATAAAATATATATGCAAGCATATAAACAAAGGAAGCGATCAAGCTATTTTTGACATTCAACAAGAACGCCGAAACGTAGATAATAAAAATGAAGTCTTATCGTATCAAGCGGGACGCTATATTAGTAGTAATGAGGCAGTATGGCGCCTATTTAGTTTTGCTCTACATAAAAGATACCCAAGTGTTACACATTTAGCTGTACATTTGGAAAATGGTCAAAGAGTGTATTTCACTGAACAAAACTTCCAACAAAGAGTAACCAGTCCGCCAAAAACAACGTTAATGTCATTCTTTGATTTATGTCGAGTTGATCCTTTTGCAAAAACACTTTCATATCCCGAAGTTCCGCGTTATTATACTTGGAATACGTCATCTAAAGAATGGAAGCGTCGTAAAATTGGTACTTCAGTAAGCAACTGGCCTGGCATAAAGGCAGGTGATGCCCTTGAACGTGTATATACTATACATGTAACAAATTTAGAGTGCTATTGCTTAAGAATGCTTCTCAATGTTATCAAGGGACCAACATGTTTTAGAGATCTAAAAATAATCAATGGTCGAGAATGCGAAACATTTCGTGAAGCCTGTGAAGTACTAGGGTTAATGGAAAATGACAATCAATGGGATTTGGCAATACAAGAAGCAGTTATTTGTTCCTTTCCATGTAAACTAAGGGAGTTGTTTGCAATTTTAATAGCTAATTGCGGTATATCAAAACCTATGGAACTGTGGCTGCGTTATAGAAATGATCTGTCTGAAGATATTCTCCGTAGAAGACAAATTAATAATAATTATGCTACATTTGATGATGATGTTTACAACGAGTCTCTAATTTTAATTGAGGACAAAATAATACTGATGGTGGGTAAAGATTTAAGGGAATTTGGAATCCCGCGACCAGTCAGAATGCAAAATGTATCTAATGTACTTTCAAGAGAATTTAGTTACGATATTGACGCTATTAATGCTGAAATTGCGGAAAAAATGCCCAAATTATTGCCTGAACAAAAAGAAGTTCTCGAGAAAATATTGGCACAAATAGATAGGGATAATGGCGGTATATTCTTTTTGGATGCTCCAGGTGGGACAGGCAAAACTTTCCTCTTAAATCTTTTGTTAGCTAAAATCCGAAAAGACTCCAACTGCTTCTTCAGGCATTGCGGCAACTCTTCTCAGTGGTGGCAGAACTGCACACTCAGTTTTCAAATTACCGGTAAAGTTGGAACAAGCTGAATCTGCCACTTGCAATATAAGTAGAAATAGCAATCTAGGCGCTTTACTGCAAAAATGCAAATTGCTGGTGTGGGACGAGTGTACAATGGCACATAAACATGCACTTGAGGCAATAAATAGAAGTTTGCAAGACATACGTAGTAGTCAAACGCTCATGGGTGGTTTGGTTGTTCTTCTTGCGGGAGATTTTCGTCATGATGAAATAAATGCTTGCTTGAAATCTTCATATCTTTGGAATGAAATTGAAAAATTAAGCCTAACCACCAATATGAGAGTTAAACTGTTTAATGACACAGCTTCCGGTGCATACGCAGAGGAGTTACTCAAAATCGGAAATGGAGAAGTTGTTAAAGACGTCAATGGTGAAATTTTATTTAAGCCAACGTTTTGCAATTTGGTATCTTCTGAAGAAGAACTTATTTCTAAAATTTATCCAGCTATTAATGATAACTTATGTAATGATGCTTGGTTATGTGAAAGAGCATTGTTAGCACCGACAAATAATATAGTGGATCACATTAATCATAAAATTCTGTGTATAATTTCTGGCGAAAGTAAAATTTATAAGTCCATTGATACTGTCGTTGATGAAGGACAATGTACAACATATCCACCCGAATTTCTCAACTCAATCGAGATGTCAGGAGTTCCATCCCATAAATTGGAGCTCAAAGTTGGTGTTCCAATAATTCTTATGAGAAATCTCAATGCACCAAAGCTATGTAATGGAACGAGGTTAAGAATAACTCACCTTAGCCCTAATCTCATTGGGGCAACTATATTAACAGGCTCAGCAAAGGGAGAAAATGCTTTTATTCCACGTATACCTATCAAACCAACAGAATTGCCATTTGACTTTAAACGGTTACAATTTCCGGTTAAATTTGCATTTGCAATTACCGTAAATAAGTCTCAAGGCCAAACATTAAAATTTGCGGGGTTACACTTAGAGACACCATGTTTTTCACATGGCCAATTGTACGTTGCATGCTCACGTGTTTCCAGTGGTCGAAATTTGTATATATTTACTCCAAACGGAAAAACAGTGAACGTGGTTTATAGAAGTGCTTTAAAATCGAGATGATAACTAAAAATAGAGTTTTTTAATAAAAATTTATATTGCAATTCATATTTAATCTGTTTTTTTTTTGGATTTGGGAAACCCGGGCAACGCCGGGTACAATCAGCTAGTATTGAATATACACAAGCCAATGAAACACACAGCCATCCAAACATACGAAATTGAATGTACCAAGAAACAAAAACAATATACACAAGGCAATGAAACACACAGCCATCCAAACATACGAAACGAAATACTCTAAAACAAAAACAAAATACAAAGGCAATGAATAAGCATTGTTGTTGTCGTTTATTTTTTATGGAATTTTCAGAGGTTGTCTCGGATTTTTGCTTATATCTCCGTTGTTTATGAACGGATTTTGCTGATTTTAAATAGGAAACTTCTCGAAAGCATGTCTGATAGAATTATTGAAGATTTGGATCCCGAAGATATCTGGGGTCTTCAGAAAACTGATTTCAACAGACAGACAGACGGACATGGCTTAATCGACTCCGATATCTATAAGGATTCAGAATATATATACTTTATGGGGTCGGAAAATTATATTTTGGAAATTACAAACGGAATGACAAACTTATATATACCCTTCTCACGAAGGTGAAGGGTATAAAAATAACACACACAGAAGTTTGAGTATAAAACGAAAATAAACATAAATGAAAACTTTTCTAGAATATCCTGCAGACAGGCTTAACAGCTTCGCGGGGAAGTAATAGAAAACTACAAGACATATGTCTGAGACTGAGACATCCTTATCAAAAGATAACATGGTCATCACACAGGAAGGAAGAGCAATCAATCTTGGAAATCCAAACTATGATGATATTTTATAATGAAATTTAACTATATATTTATATTAAATTTAATTATATTTTTATATAATATTTAACAATGTAAACTTCATCTCAAATATGCAATAATAAATAATAAAAAGTTTGAAAGTGAATATAAAACATTTCAGAACTTTTTAACCAAAAAAATTAATTTTGAAAAAAATAATTATTACAAAAACAAATTTATCGAAAATAGAAATAATATGCGTGAAACATGGCAATTAATTAATGAACTTATAGGAAAAAAACTACAAATATTGACAATCTTATACTAAATACTTTCAAAAATTATGATTTAAATAGTATTGTGAACAAATTTGCACTTAATTTTAATGAAAATGTTAAAAAATAATGCACGTTTGTAATATAAAAACATTGAATAATATAAGTAATAGTGTGAAAAACTCAATATACGTTGAACCCACAAATGAGGAAGAAATATATTACATTTTAAAATCATTAAACGTTAGGAAAAGTGCTGGTATTGACAGCATAAGAGCAAAAGATCTTACATCTAACGCTGCGAGATGTACGATATAACTATCAGGAAAAAGGTATTTCGCGGTATACCACAGGGTGGCATTTTGTCACCTTTACTCTGGGTTACCACGATTAATAGACTCCTAAGGACCCTAACTGAGAAAGGACTCTGACCTGTCTGTTATGCAGACGATGTCGTAATACTTTTAAAGGGAAAGGATCCAAATTACTTGTGTAGAAGAGCTGAGGTGGCTCTGAATACGGCCTTGAGCTGGGCTCAACCGAGAGGCCTCAATGTTAACCCGGCAAAAACGGAAATCTGTCTTTTCACAAGAAAGACAAAAATTTCTACGTATACTGAACCTTACTTCCTGGGCAAGAAGATACCAGTGACAGACAAAGTTAAGTACTTAGGTGTAATCCTCGACCGGAAATTAAAATGGAGACACCATATAGAGGATAGGATCAACAAGGCACATCGGTGCTGGGCGATATGTAGGAGAACTATAGGAATGAAATGGGGTCTTAGTCCTACTATGACAAATTGGCTTTATAAAAGTGTAATTAGACCAATTCTAGCTTATGCTTCAGTAATCTGGTGGACTGCTTTAGACAAAAAGAGCAATAACAAACTACTACAGGGAGTTCAGCGTACATGCTGCTTGGGTATAAGTGGTGCCATGTGTACTACTTCAACCAAGGCTCTGGAAACGTTGCTAGATATTCCACCCATTGAAACATATTTAAGTTATGAGGCGGCGCTTACAGCCGAACGGCTCTTTACTTTAGGCGAACTGGCCAAAAGCGGTTATAGGACACGTCATCAATGTATACTGGACACATTGGAAGGTTATACACAATCATCGGACGTGCCTGATCGTATACCAGACACAGAATATGTCGGAAACTTTGAATCGCTGATCCCAGATAGAATGTCTTGGTCAAGCGGAACATTATAGCAAATACCATTAGGAATCCGTTGTTACACGGATGGCTCTAAATTGGGGGACAAAGTGGGGCTCGGTTTCTATATTGAAGACCCAGAAATAGAAATATACCACCGTTTACCAAATCATAACACAAGCTTCCAGGCAGAAGTACGAGCAATAACGGAATGCGTAAATTGGATTAGAATAAATATGGTGCTCACAGCGCTTAATATATTTACCGATAGCCAGAAGGCAATTAGGGCGATATCAGGCGATAGAACTAAACCTAAGACCGTATTGGATTGTAAGAAAGCTTTAACTGAATACTCTCCCAGAGGTAAGGTTCACATCATATGGGTACCAGCCCACTCGGGAGTAGTCGGTAACGAAAGGGCGAATTAACCTGACAAACGCAAAACCATTCGACGCAACAAAAGCTGAACTAAAAATATGGGTGAGAGAATCCCATAAGGCCTCTTGGAATAATGAAACAGTGGGTAGAACCACGAAGATCCTATGGGGTGACCCTGATGAGAGCAAGACGAAAAATCTCCTCAAAATGAGCAAGTCTGAAGTTAGTATGATGGTACGTATTCTGAGTGGACACACAGGACTACGAGCACATCTATGCAAAATTGGACGAATGTAGAGCATGTGGAGAGGACATTCGTCGAAGTTAGATCCAAGTATCTTGGAAGTGATGTTATTCCGGAAATAACATTCCTGACTAACACTGATTGGAAGATTCTTAGGAATTACGTTCAGGAAACTGAGTTTCTGAACACTGAAAAATAATTCTTTCAGTTTTTTTTTTCATGATAAGGAGCGCACAACAGGCCCGACAGTGGCCTAGGTATATTTCTTCGGATTTGATGTAGTTACATCCTCCTATCGACCTACCTACATCTAACGCTAAATACTTAACACCGGTAATAACAAAATTTATAAACTCTAGTTTGGAACAAGCAATTGTACCAGATTTACTTAAGACATCGATAGTGAGACCCATATACAAAAGCGGAAGCCAAGCTAAGGTAAACAACTATAGGCCAATATCAATTCTATCAATATTAGAAAAAAAATCTTGAAGAAGTTATTGCAAGAAGACTTACGAATTACCTACAAATATACGAAATTATCAACGTAAACCAGTATGGCTTTCAAAAGGGTAAAAGCATTAACAAACTCTTAGGAAATGTTTCTACATACATTAACGGATACTTAAGTAAAAACATGCACGTACTGTCCTTATTCATAGACTTTAGTAAGGCATTTGACACTCTTACGCATAACAAGATGATTTTATTTTTGGAGAATATAGGCATTAGAGGTCACATTTTAAGTTGGTTTAAAAACTATCTTGAATATAGAACATACTTGGTAAAAGTAAACAATAAATTAAGCATAAAAATTGATTCTAATTGTGGAGTGCCCCAAGGATCGAAACTCGGACCAATACTCTACATCATATATGCAAATGAATTGATGAGTTGTTTGAAAAAAGGCTCAACGTTTGTTTATGCAGACGATACTGCAATAATTGTAGCCAATAAAAACTTAGCTAACGCAACGAAAGACATGCAAGAACAACTAAATATTGCTATGAAATGGTGCCATGACAATGGACTTATAATAAACGCGAGCAAAACAAAAATTATGCATATAAAACCTCCACATCTTGAATATTCAAATATTATATTAAAATACCATAACCTACAATGCTTACATAATAAATCTAAATACAACACAAATGATACTTGTACAACACTAATAGAAAAAGTCGACATATACAAATACCTTGGAGTATATATTGATAACAACTTTAAATGGAAAATCCAAATAGAAAATTTACAAAAGAAACTACGAAGATCAGCGTATATGCTCTTTCATTTAAGTAACTGTACTACCTACAATGTATTACGCCAAATTTCTCGCTAGAGGAATCCTATATCCGTCACGGAATAACCGCATGGAGAAATATGAAATATAGTAGCACCCTTCAAAAAACACAAAACCAAATCAGACACAAAACCAAAATTCAATGGAAAAACCGCCAATACAATACAAACTATAATAACAATATCCAACAAAATAACTACACATCTCAAAATAATAATATACACTACAATCTATATAACTACCAACAAACTAACAATACAAAGCAAACTAATAGCAATCAAAATACAGAACACAACACAATCCAAAATGGAAATATAATAAACTATACTATTAACAACAATAAAGCAACCTCAACAAATATTACAAAAGATCTACACGTACTAAGCCCCAGCTAGCATTTTTTGAAATTTTTGATCACATTCGAATCATTTATGACTCTTCTGCACGATTAAAATGATCATATATGCGCTCATTTTCTGATCATAAATGATACATTCGTCGGGACAAAATGGTACCCTACCCGCGACTCTTATAAACGAGTCTTTTATGAGCACTTCTAATCAGTTCTGACTCATTTTTTAATCTTTTTTGTGTCATTAATGAGCCGACCTACTGGTCCTTTTAAATTATTTTCGAATCATATTATAGTCATTTTTGAGTCTTTTCTGAGTAATTTTCATGTTTGTTACAGACAAATACAATACAACAGAAAACACTTTTTGATCTTCCGACTGCTCGAAATGTAACTACAAAATAAATTTATAAACAATTAAATTTCGAACACCTGGAAGACCTATTTGTGATTGCTGTACATTTTGTTATTGTTTTTCAAATAAATCAGATTTTAAACATTAATTGGAATTATTTAGACTAGACTTAGTGATTAGTCACCCAACTATTAAACATATAAAATTATTATAATTAAAGCATAATATAATTTCAATTTCTTTGACAGAAAATCGACTTTAAAAATATCACACAAATTGAAATACTTATACATTTAATTTTATAAACGAAATGAAAATTATATCAACTTATTTTAGGCCACAACAATTTTTTGCCAACTCTTCTAAAAGAGACTTTTCTAAGCCAATTTTCTAATCAGTTTCGACTCATTTTTGAATCGTTTTTGAGTAATTTTTAATAAGTTTTTAAAACCATCATATTTTAAACACCAGGATGATCTATTTATGAATGCTATACATTTTGTTATTGTTTTCCAAATAATCAGTTTTCAATCATATATCGGGATCATTTTCGAATCATTTTTTAAGCGCTCAACTTATTAATCACGTTTAGGTCATCAAAAGGAGTAAAAATGAGTCAGTTTACTGATTAATCATCCAACAATCTTCCAAATGCTAGCTGGGGCGTGAAAAACATATACTTTTCTACAATTGCGAAAGAATTCTATAATAACACCAAATACTTGAAGCCAATCAACCACATCCTTAATACCAGATACCGTTCCTAGGGAGGATTCAAAGTAGACCGATTTACAAATGAATATGGAATAAGCACACTGAATGTTATACTGCCAACAATACTAAATAAAATCCCTATAACTATAATAAATGAAACAAATTCTAAGAAACGAAATAAACTAATAAAAGAACATTTAATTAATTCACAAGCATAATGTAAAATAATTTAAAATTAATTCAAAATCGTAAAAACTGTAATATATTTATTTAAATATCTTATATATTTTGATTAAAAGGAAAATTGTACAAATGGAAAAAACTGAACTCAAACCTTACCTGCAGACAAGCAAAAGCTTTGCGGGTTTTAATCTTAAGAAACTTATGTAGATTTTTTTTTAATAAATAAATAAAATAAATAATGTTCTAAAAAAATTCTAGTTCAGTTCTAGTTCAATTCTTGTTCAGTTCTTGTACAGTTCTTGTTCAGTTCTAGTTCAGTTCAAGTTCAGTTCTAGTTTAGTTCTAGTTCATTTCTAGTTCAGTTCTAGTTCAGTTCTAGTTCAGTTCTAGTTCAGTTCTAGTTCAGTTCTAGTTCAGTTCTAGTTCAGTTCTAGTTCAGTTCTAGTTCAGTTCTAGTTCAGTTCTAGTTCAGTTCTAGTTCAGTTCTAGTTCAGTTCTAGTTCAGTTCTAGTTCAGTTCTAGTTCAGTTCTAGTTCAGTTCTAGTTCAGTTCTAGTTCAGTTCTAGTTCAGTTCTATTTCAGTTCTAGTTCAGTTCTAATTAATTTCTAGTTCGGTTCTAGTTAAGTTTTAGTATAATTTTTGTTCAATTCATTTCAGTGGGAGTTCAGTTCTAATTCATTTCGAGTTCAGTTCCAGTTAAAGTTTAGTTGTAGTACAGTTCTAGTTTAGTTTTAGTTAAATTTTTTTGTAAATTTCAGTTCTAGTACAGTTCTAGTCTACTTAATTTTTTTTATTTCTTTTCAGAGCATAATTATGCCCACTGTAATAAAGGTTAGGGTGGAGGCGGAGGAGGTGGCTCCAAGAAATAAAAGAAAAATTTTAATAGAAAAAGAAAGCCACCGGTGGTACAGTCTTTAGAGCTGTCTGCCCAGCCATCCACAAGCAGTCAGTCAACCGGAAAAATCAACAAAAGAAAGAAAATATTTAAAAATAAGGCCAAAGGTCCCTTAATAATGCCACCGGTGCAGTTCATGGAGCTAGCGGAACAAACGGAGATACCACCACTGCCTCCTACACAGCCACCTGAGCAGCCAACGCCAACTGCACATCATCCTGTAGAGCTGCAACCTGCCGCTGCCACATGCGCATCCAGCTTCACTACCGCCTCCGCCACCTGCATTATTTTTGTAATTCTTTATTTATTTGAATTGAATTTTATTGTTTTTATTAATATTTTTTAAGAATTAAAAATGTTTTTGTTTATAGAAAAATATATAAGTTATTTTGTTTTTTTGTAATATACGTTAGAGTGGGTCGGTCTCTATGGACAAAAAAAAGTTGTGTCAGTCACCCCCTAGGATTAAAGGTATGTTAATAACATTTCCAAAAATATAAAAAATATTTTTTGCCACGCCTAGAAATACCGCCCTTTTTGTTTTTTATATATTACGCCGCCATTTTAAGTCCGATCGTAAGATGTGATATCACTATATTTATAGCTTGACTGTAGCTATATTTCACCCTTAGAAAATTTTTTAATTCGACGTGATATTCTATGCGCGACTTCTGATATCTCGGATCCTTCCCCAAAATCTAAAATTGTGGCTATACTGGAATAAAGTACATTGAATTATATGAACTATTAGCTTTTAAAATGCTCACTTTTATGCATAAACACCTATTTTATAGATATTTGAAAATGTTCAAGTATTTATCAACCGTTCTCACAACAAACAATTAATTTGCCAGGAAAAACAGTCGAACATTTTTTAAATGAACTATATAAAACAGAAATCCTTTTCATTTTTTCAGTTACAAACCATTTCAGATCCTACTTCCTTTCAAAATAGCAGAAAGTTAACTATGTATGTATATCCTGCAGCAATATAGTGGTATAGCTATGTCCGTCCGACTGTCCGTCCATGTAAACCTTGTAAAACTATAAGTCGCAATTTTCCAAATAATTTGATGAAAATAGGCTCAAATATTTCATTTTACCAAAGGACGAAGTTGTTTGAAAATGGATTAAATTGGAGCTCTTAATTGTGGCTTGTCGTTATTTCCCTCTTAAACACTTCCATTATGATGAAATTCTGCATATCTAACTCCTATATGAACATAAATCCCTCCACCATATTTTGAGAGGATCGGTCTATAATTGATCCTAGCTCCCATATATAGTCTCTTTCAGAAAATCAGTTTTTCATCAGATTTCAGTATAAATGCTTTATTAAATAAGAAATCACATTTTAGATATATTCATAACTGGTATCATATGGTCGGCCATTCCCGATTATTTTTTTAATAGTAGTTATTTCAAGAACTTCTTTAAAAATATATAACTATTTAAGAAAAGTTAATCTATCATTAAATAAATTTATTACATTTTATAAAAATTAGTATAAACATTTTTGAAAATCGTTAAAAAAAAAAACAAGAAACATGCAAGTAATTGTATGGTAAAAACATGAAATCTATATATATAAAAATGAATGTGTGTTTGTTTGTATGTTTGAACGTTATAGACTACAAAACTGCTGAACCGATTTTCTTGAAATTTTCACAGCGTATTCCTGTATGTCTGGAATAGGTAATAGGCTACTTTTTATTTTGAAATTTCAAGTGGGCAAGGTGCCACGCCCATATTAGAAAATATTAAATCCGTATATTTGAGATAATATAACAGTTAGAGTCCTCAAATTTTGTCGGAGCCACTTTAGTGTCAATATGATTATTTAGGACAAAAAGTAGGCGGACTAGCATTAGGGGGCGTGGCACCTCCCATATAAATTAAAAACAAAAATTCGTTTATCTTAGAAACAATTACAGTTAGAATCTTAAAATTTTGCACAAATAACTTTAACATCCATGTTAACATTTTGGAAAATAAATTGGCGGACTACCCATGAGGGGAGCGGCACCTCCCATATTAATTAAATGCAAAAATTCGTTTATCTGGGAAACTAATAGAACTAAATTCTTCAACTTTTACTCTAAGTACTTAAATATTCGTCTGAACATTTTTGATGAAAAAGATCGGACTTCCATCTGGGGGGCCTTGGAGCCCCCATATGAATTAAATAGAAAAATTCGTATATCTGAAAAACTATTAGAGCTAGAATCTTCAAATTTTACTTGAAGAACTTTGACATTCATCTGAACAATTAGAATATAACGGGCGGACTTTCAATGGGGGACTTGGTACCTCCCATATTAATTAAATACAAAATTTCGTTTATCTGGGAAACTAATAGAACTAGATTCCTCAAATTTTGCACAAATTACTTTAATATTCATCTAAACATTTTGGAGAAATAAGGGCGGGCTTTTTTCTTGGGGGCTTGAAACCCCCACATGAATTTAATAGAAAAATTCTTATATCTGAGAAACTATTAGATGTAGAATCTTTAAATATTACATGAAGTACTTTGACATTAATATGAACATTTAGGGAATAATTGGCGGACTTTAAATGGTGGACTTGACAACTCCCATATGACTTAAATTAAATTTAATAGAAAAATTCTTATATCTGAGAAACTATTAGATGTAGAATCTTTAAATATTACATGAAGTACTTTGACATTCATCTGAACAATTAGAGTATAACGGGCGGACTTCCAATGGGGAACTTGACAACTCCCATATGACTTAAATATAAAATTTCGTTTATCTGGGAAACTAATAGAACTAGATTCTTCAAGTTTTGCAGAAATTACTTCAATAATCATCTGAATATTTTGGAGGAAAAAGATCGGACTTTCATCTGGGGAGCTTGAAGCCCCCACATGAATGAAATAGAATAATAGTATATCTGGAAACTACTAGAGCTAGAATCTTAAAATTTTACATAAAAAACTCTGACATTCATGTGAACATTTGGAGAATAACGGGCGAGCTTTCAATTGGGGGCTTGGCACTACATAAATGAATTAAATACAAAATTTCGTATATCTTGGAAACTATTATATTATTCAAATTTTTCATAGATAGATAGAAATTGGCGAACTTTCAGTAATTTGCTTGGCATCTCTAATATGTAACATATTGTAAATCTAGAGAACTATTGGAGTTAGAATCTTCAAAATCGTTAAGTGGGTTTTTTATTTATACTGTTTTTAGGGTAGCAAAGCACACTGGGTAAAGCTAGTATTTTTATAAAGCATAACTCTTTAATTTTGCACAGATTTTTATAAAATAAAAAGTTTAGTTAATATGTACCTACGTGATTTTGTTATTAATTAATAAATTTAAATGCTGAATAAAATTATCATTCTTGTGTTAAGATAAGGACAGAATGAAATTTGTGTATTGTAAATTAATTTGAAAAAATAGTTTTCGACCATATCCCTAGCAAATTAATTGTTTGTAGTTAGAACTGTACAGGTATTTTTAAATACCTGTAAAATAGCTGTTTATGCATAAAACTGAGCATTTTAAAAGCTAATAGCTCATATAATTAAATATACTTTATTCCAGTATAGCCACATTTTTAGATTTTGGGGAAGGATCCGAGATATCAGAAGTCGCGCATAGAATATGATGTCGAATTAAAAAATTGTCTAAGTGTGAAATATAGCTACAGTCAAGCCATAAATATTGATATATTATATGTTACGATCGGACTTAAAATGGCGGCGTAATATATAAAAAACAAAAAGGGCGGTATTTCTAGGCGTGGCAAACAAATATTTTTTATATTTTTGGAAATGTTATTAACATATCTTTAATCGTAGGGGGTGACTGATTCAACTTTTTTTCGACCCACCCTAGTGTACACCATCTACCCCAATAATAATTCCAGTTTCTTTAGAATCAAACCTTTTTAACAACGCCATATATAATGTGCAATTCATTCTGTATTCCATGACTGGTTGATAGAGTCACGGAATCCATCGGAGATCAACCTAAAAAATTCAAAAAGGGGTGGCTTTAACTTCTTGTTCCGTTCATATGGGGCAAGATTCGAGCCTCATCGTGTCAGTTCGCCAGATACCACTTTTGTGTATATTGCTGGGTCCTGGTACCCAACACAGCCTTATTGTAAACGGTCTCATAATAACACTTAGATCTTTTCTTCATTCTACGACTATGCAAGAATATAGCTATGACATATTATTGCTTTGAGTGCAGCATGACTATCTTACCAGAGACCGGTGAACAATGTGATTCCCTATTTGTTCCGTCACTTTCAAGATCGCTAAAT